ACCACATTGTGATACACCATTCAAACACACACACAAGCACTGGATAGCAATGACATAGACTCACAAGTCATTCCATGCCATGCATGCACACACACAAGCAAGGACGACAAGCCGAGTGCAAGCCATAGGGTTGCACCAACAACACTAAACTCGAGGAAAGACGTATCGGGTACGCGAGTCAACGGAGGTTACACGAGGAGGTTGAACGAAAGAACACGAAAAGACGAAGGGACTCGAAGGATCACAATCGAAGGCTGCGATTGACCGTTGCGACTGCAAGGATGGTAACCGAACAGACAATCGAGTCGCTGTCTGACTCGAAAACTGTTTCTTCAACTGTATTCTACAACTGCTTCATTTCTTATTTGCTATATATTGCTGTATGCTTGTTCCTTCTAGTCAATCACTTGCTCTCACATACTTGTGCAAGGGTTCAACTACTCAACACTTCCGCTGCACTACTCAAGCATTTCATACAAGTGGGACTTAGTCTCTGAAAAGATCCTAGGGCTTTTCTCAGCCCAACATCTTCCACATACAGTTTGTCCCAAATTTCCATCTTCTTAGTATCTCAATGTAGATATCTTAAGAATCATAATATAAATCTTCAAAAAAATAAATTCCAGGTTTAATACTTTAGCAACAGTTCCGAAAACTTAATTTAAACACGTCGCTAATGTTTTCAGTTTTTTTCTTCAATTCTAGCCTCTCGTAAGTGAAATCAATACCTTCTTGAAATCTAAAAAATATTCACAGTTTCACCTACAAATGAAACGAGCATCCCTACAAAGTACATTGTTTCCCGCATCGCCCAACTACCGACTGACCAAACAGCTTCATCCGTCGTGAGGACGCAACGCCGCAAAACCAACGACTTCTAGTCTGGTCAACAGCGCCCCAACCGTGGCTAGCCTTATCCAGTCACCAACGAATCGCAGCTTCTAAATTTCAATGTCCGGACCCAGCAAGTGGATTGTTGGAATCGCCGAACCGCCTGAATTTGCCGCCAGCTTTAAGCCCGACCGGCAGGTTGCAAGTCATCTTTTCTCAAGATGCTGCACCTTGAGGCCCTCGTAACCGAACAGCTTGCATCAAACTGCCAAATGCTCGCAAAGGATTTCCAACCAGGCAGGGCTGGGGGCCTCTCGGAACTTGGTAGTGCAAACCTGCCAAGTTCTTTGAGGAAAAAAAAGGGACGGGTTGGGTGGGGGGTAGAAACCTGAAGATGCAATTCGCAGTTTGGGTGGGAATCGCGAAACAAAAAGGTGACTCGTATTTTTGGGGTCGCACTGTACCGAACTGTATATGCGTCAAACAACATCCGGTTTGTTTTTCCGAAACCGGTCAGGTCAAAGGGTTGGTTGTGATCGAAACAGTCAGGAGTTCTCGCCCTGCAAACCTGGCAGAGCTGGCGAGGTGGCTCTCTGCCAGATTGTGAGCTGCAAAACTGGCAGCCCTGCCAAGTTTCCAGCCCCGCTAGCTTGCACGAAACGAACGCTGGCTCTGAGAAGCCTAGTACTCGCCAGCTATTTCGTTTGAAGAATCCTTCATTATCCAATCAGGTTCTGCTGTCCCACCCACCTAAACAGTACAAATATGTAACCTGCTGGGCGGGCTTTTACAGCATGTTCAGAGTGCCCGACATCGAATTAATTTACAACATCCTGAATTCATTTGCCTGTGGAGATTTTGTCGACGTCGGGCTGAACCAGCTCGAAACCCATCGCCACGTGGCGCCGGCGCTTCCACTCGTTTCCTCACGGGATTTCACCTTTTGCAGTCACATCAGTGGGGAAATCAGTTTCTTCTGCCGTCAAGCTGACATGGCGCATTTCCATAAGTTAAGAACCTACCGAGGCAGTCGAGCCTCGTCGTAAGATACTTTCATTTGCGATTTTATGGTTTACCTGTACCAAAATGGCATGCGGGCCCAGAAGGATTTTTTGCCCCGGACAGCCAGGTCTTCTAATTTCACGTACCAGATCTGGCCCGAAAAAGAAAGAAAAGAAAAAAAAAATCGTTTCGCCAAATGGCAGAAATTGGATGGTGGAAATGACAGTTTGGAGAGGCACGGTTGCTTGCTTGGGCCCCGAGCCTCTATGAAAGCTCTAGATCAGAGATCATACCTGTTGACGGCAAAAGCAAATGCTTGCCCCACTAATTTGACTACAAGAGCAATTGGCCCTTTCTGCACCAACAAATTGAGCTTTGTGTTTCCATTCAAAGTCTGCCAGGAGCAAGATACAACTGCTTGCAAGCCCCAGACCGTCGCGAAACTGACGAAGGAATGCGAACTCGTCAATTTTTGCTCTGTTGGAAAAAAAAAAAACAAGAGGCGACGAGATCGTCTTAGGGTTGCGGAGCATTTCATGATGAGATTTTATTATACATAAATGTTTTATTTTCATACAAAATAATCACTCTGTTTGTTGGATAGAAGTCATCATTTTCCTTATCACAACAAACATTTGATGATTATTTCCATATGACAAGAACAAATGATCGTGATTCACATATTTATTTGAAAATAGTGGCAACATGTGAAAATAAGTTTTGTTGTGGGACTTCTCAAAGGATAAAAACGTGCTTTTCCTTCCTGCCAAGCCTCGAACCCAAGAGCCTTCAATTTAAACTCGTCATTCGAAAGCTGAGCTAACCTATACGTCATATACGAGAAATCGTAATTACTTAAATCAAGAATTTGCGACGAGGGTCCAACAACGTCAGCCTCTCGTTTCTGCTTTTCCTCTTGCCTAACAGTCTCCTCAGCAGAGCTACCTCTCATAGCACAGGTATGTGCGTCCTAGGCTTTCGAGTCACTGAAGGGTGGCCTCTAATTTGCTCAGATTTCCTATTTTCTTCCCGCGACCTCGATAGTAAAGGGGACGAGATCGTAAGGGAATGCAAGGGGGAGATATGCTTAGGTGAATTACGCATGGTTTCAGGTTGGGGTGCGTGGTGTCAGGTGGATTTCGCGTCCACCTACTGTATAAATAACACTGTTTGCATTTGGGGTTTGTAGGTGAAAATATGTGGGATCTCGCGGGTGAAATGTGGAGTGAATCGTGTCCAACTTTCAGGTGAAATATGCAGGTGAAAATGACGGATTTTACAGGTGCAATTGTGGGAGAGTATGGTTTGTTGTGGCAACTATCTTGTGTCCCAACACCTGAAGCTTTTGGTGTGTGGATCGAGGTAGTGATGGGTGGGCTGCTTGCTTTTACATTTGGTGGGCTGTGAGATTAAATATGTGTGTGTGCTTCATTTGTATTACATCCTTTTATGAATGAAACATTCCCTATCCTCGTATTGACGTGAGAGAATCGCTGCACACGCACCAAGTCGTCACATATCCGCTGCGTTTATGGTGGAGGAAGGCTCAAGTGGAATTTGACCAAGGCTATTCTTGGCTTACTCTCTTCAAACATGGACCCTTGGATAGGGGCTGGTTTTACCAGGCACCCAAGTACCCTCGGAAAAGACCCCGTGGAGTAAGTTTTGTATGCTTGAGTCCCTATTCCTAGAGCGGTATTAGGTTGCTCTTTCTAACTGGAAGTACCTATTCGGAATGTACTTGTTTGTAGTGTATCACGACTACTTGCGTGACATGACTAGTGATTGTTCGTGTGACTAAGAGTGGTGTGACCCTTCGGGTGACTATATGCGCGAACCTATTGCTCACGCGTTGACCCGCTACTGCTGACATCTTCACGCGCATCCTTCCACATGAGGTATCGCGCTACGAGTACAGTCTAAGTGTAATATCAGGAATGCATAAATGGTAACTCTGCCGAGTTACTTCAATAAAATGCGTATCGACCCTGATACAGACAAACTATACCAAACTGCCCACAATCCTGATATTTCGACGAAGTCCCAATCGCCAGAGACATCCCCCCCACACACCCTGCAACCTACGTACAAATATCGGCTAAGTCCAACTGTACAGACACTCCCCCCACACACCCAACAACCTACAAAAATCTTTCAAGTCCTCTTGTACAAACACTAAACCCACACACCCAACAACCTACAAAAAATTGGCTAAGTCCTAATAGCCAGAGACATCGCCCTCAACAATTTTATCTTGGCTGAGTCCTCCTGTACAGACATTCCCCCCCCCACACTCCCGCAATACGAATAATTTGGATAAGTCCTCAGCATTACCCCCACACTCCCCACAAACCCTGAGAATCTGGCTACCTAGTGGAGCAGTGAAATTTGTGCATGGCAATGTACTTCCTAATTACAAGGGTACTGGTGACAACCCCTTAGCATGACAAACTCCTTGCCTCTAGCAGCATTTGTTCCTTTAGGGGGGATTTCCGCCAGCTGCCTGTGCGATATAACTAGAAGTCCTGAACGCTTTGATGGTCACGATCGAATGCGATCGTTTCAACATTTATCATTCGTCGATGGATTCTCGTAATGAACGGCCCATATTTCTCTTGCAATTTGAAGTCAATTCCATGACGCTGGAAGCGAGCAAAGTCATTTCTACGCATGGTGCTCATTGGCCAATTGCGAGCGCTTTGTCTCCCCTCACTTACGTCCGCCCTTCCCCTCAATTTCGACCCCCCCCCTCCATTTCGATCCCCGTTCCCCCTCCGTTTCGCTTCCCCGCTCCCCTCGGTTCTGATTCCCTCCCCTTTTCTCATTGTTTTCAATTCCCCCCTTCCCTCCTTTTCAATCTCCCCCCCCTCACTTGGACGGTGGGCCGTCCGTTGGAGTTAGAATTTTCACTTTGTATGGGAAATCAGAAATAGACATCCCCGCCCCCCAGCCCACCCCACCTCCCCTCATCTAACCGCTTAGGAAAAAGGCTAGCGAAGACCCTCTCTACGAAAGGAGATGATGCAGCAGTTCGGGCATGCTTACGGGCGTTGCTGAATTCGACCCTGATCGCGTTCTGCGAATTCTGAGAATTTCTGGGTTTCAGCTTTCTGGACATTGACAGAACAGGGTAGGCACTTTTGGTAACAAAGCCCTCGGGGTTTTTTTTTTTTTTTTTTTTTTTTTTTTTTTTTTTTTTTTTTTTTTTTTCGACAGCGCATGGTGGTTTTTTATTTAACGACAGCCCTGGTCACGCCATGCTCAGTCACATGAAGAGCCAATAGTCATGTCACGCAAACAGCCGCAATACACTACGAACAGGTACATTCCAAATAGGTACTTCCTAGACTAGAAATATGCCTGTATTATCTATATTATTATCCTTGTCATTTCGGACATTTCCAATACAAGGTGTGAAGTCTTCCGCTGACTTTCTACTCTTGGTTCCACCAACTCTAGATCCTGGCCCCATGGATGCACCGAAGCTGTTGACAGACATGGTGACCGCAGGTGAAGAAGAGAAATGGGCAGCCCTAGTGGAGGCAAGGGCGAACTACTTGAAGGAGTTTCTGCCCGCGGCAATGGCGAATCTGCATGCCGCACAGCTGAGGGATGCGCATTGGTACCGGCAGAGGATGGAGGGAAAAAGGAGGCAGAGGAGGCCATGGTGCATGAGGGAAGTGGGTGGAAGTGCAAGCCATCCGCAGCAAGAGCTCCATGCTGATACGCGAAGCCTTCACGGACCAAGTGCTGACGAGGTTCGGGGCATGTGGGGAAGTCCTGACAGATCAGGGGACAGAGTTCCGGGGCACGTTCGATCAGCTGCTGCAGCAAGTGGGCATAGTGCATCGGAGAACCTCCATGCATCACCCTTAGAGTGATGGGCTGACCGAACGCATGGTGCAGACGCTGAAGCGTGGGCTTCGAGCGTACGTAGAGGTGCACAAGAGGAGCTGGAATGAGGAGCTGCAGTGGGTGGCGGCGGGCTACCGCTTTAGCAAACAGGCTGCATTGAAGGGCATGTCCACATACTACCTGCTGTTTGGGAAGGAGCCCCTACTCCCTGTGGATGCACCGAAGCTGTTGACAGACATGGTGACCGCAGGTGAAGAAGTGAAATGGGCAGCCCTAGTGGAGGCAAGGACGAATTACTTGAAGGAGTTTTTGCCCGCGGCAATAGAGAATCTGCATGCCGCACAGCTGAGGGATGCGCATCGGTACCGGCAGAGGCTGGGAGGGAGAAAGGAGGCGGAGGAGGCCAGGGTGAATGAGGGAAGTGAGGTGTACCTGCCCAAAGCAAAGCAGGATGTGCTAGACATAGGGCTGACAACGGAACGATGGAATGTGAAGGCCGTGAAACCATCTGGAGTGCTAGTGCTGGAGAATGCAGATGGAGGGAGGTGTCAGGATCACATCACAAACGTAGCACAGGCTCGTGGATGAGAGTTGCGAAGGTCCCAGCCAGCTGTGCAGGGCGCAGAGCAGCTGGAAGGGGGCAAGTGGGCAACTCACGAGGGGCATGCAGAGAGAGAGAGACAAAACACCGTGAGAAGGGAATCCGGATTAAGGGTAGGCCATCAGGAGACGGGAAAAAGGTGAAGCAGACGCAGAACCGGTGGTTCTCCGACAGCTGTCACAATATTATAAGTGCAATGCATTTATAAGAAGGCGACAGTGGCAGGAGGATGGGACGCGTAACTGGTCAGGGTAGCGGTGTAACACGGACAGCACTGCGCTAGTTGGATCACCCTAGAAATGGGAGAGCAGCGGAAGGACGGAGGTTGGGTGATGTGGGGGAAGATAGCATGAGGGGTTGGAGACCAGCGGCTGACATCACCATGCGTGTTCAGTTGCTTGTACAGCTATGGGCATGCATGCTTGGAGTGCTTGTAAATGGTGTGCTTGAACTGCAGGCTGGTTGGGGAGTTGAAGGGCCATGTGCTGCCTAATTCTCTTGGCTAGGCTAGTCGCCCTTTTACATAGTCATCGCCAATTCCTTGCCAAGATCAGCTCGAATCGTTGTTTCTTGCTATCTTGATAAAAACTACTCGTAAACCCAACAAGTGCCATACAGGAGCAAGTGACTGTCGATTAAACATGCACCTAGAGGACCCATGTTCGTGGGTGAGCTCTGGGTGAGCGGTCATTTTTCGACAAGCATCTCACAAGGGGCACGCAGAGAGAGAGACAAAACACCGTGAGAAGGGAATCGGGATTAAGGGTAGGCCATAAGGAGATGGGAAGAAGATGAAGCAGAGGCAGAACCGGTGGTTATCCGACATCAGCCAGGGAGACATGTACTGGTGCAGGGAGTGGTATGAGTGCAGTGTGGTATTGGAAGAAGCAGTGAGACGCGTTGAAGTCCGTTGTGAAGGACCGGACCGCCATAGTGGGGGCAGGGGAGCCTCCTATTCGACATGTAGCAGAGGCTCCGAGACTACACACAGCAGTGGGACCTAAACCCAAAGGCCCCCAGGCCTCCAGAGAAATCACGTGGGCCCCAGGGCAGCGACCACCCCGGGGCCCAACCTCCAAGGCCTCCACCACGTCCAACACTCCCAAGACCGCACCACGGCGGCTGCCGCCGCTGCTGCGGCTGCTGATGTTGCTGAGGCTGCTGCTGCTGCTGTGGCTCGGGGCACGCAGCCCTATGGTGTACCTCAAGGACCTGGAGGTGTGCGACAAGCTCACCGGTAACATGGGCCTCCAGGAGCTCACAGTCCATGTGTTGGCTCACCAGGTGCCGGGGTGAGCGATAACCCGGAGAGCGAAGTCGTCTGGCCAGCCTTCGGCGTCCAGCTGAGGGACACACTCCGACGGGGTCGGCATGCCGATAGGGGAGGCGGTGAGGAACTCCAGAAACGAGGAGGAGACTAGTGGGAGGCGCTAGGGACTGCAGGAGAACGGTGGTAGCAGCAGTGGCGGTTGTGGCCGGAGCGGTGGTCTGGCAGTTTGCGGCTGGCTGCTAGCGGTTGGGAGCTGGTGGCCGGCAGTTGGTAGCTGGCTAGGTGCTAGGTGAGCGGCAGGCCGGCGGCAGCTGCGGCTAGTGGCAGGCTGGCGGCAGTGGCAGCGAGCGGCCAGCAGCAGGCTAGTGGCAGAGGCGGCTAACGGGAGGCTGGCAGTAGCGGCATCGAGTGGCAGGCTGGTGGCAGAGGCGGCGAGTGGCAGGCTGGTGGCAGCGGCAGCGAGCGCCAGGCTGGCGACAACAGTGGCTAGTGGCAGGCTGGTGGCAGTGGCGGCTAACGGCACGCAGGCGGCTAGTGGCAAGCAGGCAGGCGACTGATACAAGCTGTTTTTTATTACACCCTTAAGCATAAGTTACAGATATATAATTACAACAACTAATAAGACAGAAAATTCAACTACTAATTCTCCTACTTCCGATCTATCTATTGACAATCTGTCTGACTTCGCTTCCTTGATGGCTAATCAGTCTTCTCAGCAACAACAACAAGCTCTAGTGCATCCTGTAGCCTGTATGAGCCTTGATAGCTCTAGTTGTGCAAGAGCTGCTGTTGCTGCTAGGCCTTCAGCCCCTGGAGATGAATCTGCTTTGTCTTTTGCCTTCTATGGATGACCTGTTCAACAACAGCAACAACGGCCACATCAGCAACAACATCAAATGGCAGAAGAAATACCATTTGCTACACAAGTTGTCGTAAATCAAGTGGATTTTTTAACTACCTCCAAGTCGAAGACATCAACTCACTTTGACGGCCACGACTTTTATACTTGCGGATTCGAGTTCGCATTTCTCGCGCAGTCTTCCGGCATGTGGAGATACTGTATATCGATGGTATAAACCGTTATCCAGATACAGGAATAGCCAAAGAATAGGCGCGTTTTAACAAGTATTCGCTTATGGCCTATATACTATTGGTGCGGAATCTCTCACGTGAAGAGCAGTTGGGAGTTCGGGGCTTCAAGCTTCGATTGCTCCAGCCTTCTATGCCAGGGATTACCTGCAAAGTCTTTATCAAGCACAAGATTCCGTTTCAAAGAGCAAGCTGTTAAGTCAACTTACAGCAATGCAAATGCTTCCGGGAGAAAAATTCGGCAGCTACATCAACTGGTGCATAAATCTCCGAGACCAGCTCGGCAAGTGCGGAGGAAAACTTAGCATTGAGCTCTTTCGTCACTATTCTTTTTGCTGGACTTGGACCCGAATGGAGGCAGTGCAAGTCCCTTCTTCATTTCAAAGGGAACATCTCAGAAAATTCTCTTTGCGCTACTCTGATGGCAGAGCAGCAGGAATTGGACGTGTACAATGCAAAAGGAGGCAAGACCAAAAGCGGGTTAAGCTTTTATACAGGTTGACCAAGTCAAGGGGAGCAGATAAGAGGTGGATCAAGTCAATGGGAGCAGACCAGAAACGGAGGAAAGGGCTTCTGCAAGTTCTGCAATCGAGCAAGTCATAATAATGAAGAGTGTCAGAAACTAAAGAACAAGAATCAGGAGAAGTCGGGTGAAGCCGCCCCTGTCAAGTATGTATCTCTGCCTTAAGCTTCTTCAACTCAACTTGCAAAAGGCAAAGCATTTCTTGATTGCATGGTTGGACCTCACTGGTCTAGTGGTATATGCTACTGGAGACGAGATAATAGGAACAGCGACATGGAAGAAGGTCCTAGGAACTTACCTCCACATGTTCGCCCACGTTCACAAACTCCAGAACCAGCAGTCATTGATGAAGAAGAGCCAGAACAGCCTACTCACTTTCCTCGACATTTGAATGTGCAGCCGTATGCCCACATCGCCAAGCGTATGTATCCCGAGCATGTCAATACATGGTTTCTTGACAATCGTCTACAAATTGCTATCTTCTCAACTTGCGTGACCTGTCCGAAGGAGAGAAGTACAACATTACAGTGGCAGATAATAAGTTACTTAAAGCAACACAAATCGAAGATGTTTTTGCACGATTCTGTTGACACGGGAATTTCACTTCACCTTAACAAGGTACTTGTTGTCGCAGAGCCCGGCTTCAGCATTCTGTCTCAAGCACAGCTGATGCAGAGTGGCATATACTTCATCAGCACCGCCAATACGATGCTCACAGAGTTATACCTGGGAGACAAGAAAGATGACAAAAGTAATTTGATAGGCATCGCAGAAATCAAGGACGGCGTCTTGGTTCTAAGATTCTCACCTGAGACATCAACCGGCGATAGTCAGAAGACTGTCTCACAAGATCGTGCAGATGATCGTGGACCCAATGTCTTCTG